CGCTCACGGCCTCTCTCCGCAGCGCATGACGGACAAGTGCTTCCGGAAGTGCATCGGCAAGCCCGGCGGCGCGCTGGACAACTCGGAGCAGGTGAGCGCGGTCGGGGAGAACCGGAGACTCACGGGCCAACCCGTGGGGCTGCTGCTGAGCGCTCTCTGTGCCCTAGAAATGCATCGCCATGTGCATGGACCGGTACATGGACTCCTGGAACACGGTTTCCCGAGCCTACAACTCTCGGCTGCAGCGGGAGAGAGCCAACATGTGAAGCACCCCAGCTCCTTGACCAGGGAGGGACCATGTGGGGAAGGGACGAGTGGCCAGTCCAGGGGGTTGGAGGCTGAAACCCTGCCTTTCCAGCCCTTGCCATGGCAGAGCAATAAACCCTTGCTGAACCTTTTGCATCCATTGGCTTTTATTAGCACCGGCCCCAGGAGTGAGTGAATTTCCTCACCCTTAGAGCCACCACGAGCTGCATGCTTTGCCTCATGCTCTTCCCAGCAGTCCAGACTGGCCAAGGCATATAGCAGCTGATAAATCCCTGCTGAAAGGCCTGCAAGAGGCAAGGAGACTTCCGTGGAAAAGAGGGGCCCAGCCAGCAACACAGTCCCTTTCCCAGGAAAGCAAGCCTGGACCCAGAGTTACTCAGCCCCTGTTCATCAGTGGGAAAAGCTGCCATAAGGTGCTCCACGTGCCACACTCGGCTCTTTCTTCCCTTGTATTTGTGTAGCTGTATGTGGGGCTCACTTTTGCGCTCGTAGGCTTTGACTTGGCTCAAGAAGTGTGTTGGGGAGCAGGGGTGGTCTTACTAGGTTTGCAGCACAGCCCTTGCATAGTTCTACGAGCACACCTCGGGATGAAAAGGGTTGGGAGGTACTTAGGTTGATTTCTTCGTAGAGTAAAATGTGTTGGGTGGCTGTGATACTCTGACTCGTGGTTTGGCTCTGGCAGAGACCTCCCACCTTGGAGCCTACCTTGTAGGCGTGATGTTTTTGAGGGAGCAGCACTTGGGCAACAGAGGACTTGGATCTGCTTTGGGGCTGAGCTCTGTATTGTTCTCGGTTTACACACCTCTCCTGCAAAGATTGGTTTATGCTGTGTGCACAGCAGTGTGCACAGCAGCTGAGAGTGTTGGAGATTAAAAGGCCCATGCCCCTGTAGTAAGACTTTTAAAATCCCCTCTTTTTAAGCTCTTCTGTATTTTATAAGGTATTTCACCGCGTGCTGGGGCAGGGAGGCAGACTGGAAGGATGACATCTCCTTAGCTGCTAGGGCATTCAGAGAGTTCTGGGAGAACCTGATTTCATGTAATCTCCCAATGTGGCAACTTGTATGAAGGGACTAAAGTGTTCTCACACAAGTTAACCCATTAGGAGATAACTGGATATTTGGACTAATTGAACGAGTTTCCCATCCAGATTGGGCAGAATGACTGCTTGAAAATAAAGAGTTTTCCAGCTATATTTGCTATGGGGCTGTTTCACTTTTCTTTCTGGCTGTATATTTTGTGATACTGGCTGTGCAGCAGTCCTGTTTTATGGATGGGAGCATTCCACAAGTGTTCCAGCCGTGGCTCTCAACCTATTTTGAGCTGAGCCATGCCAGGAAGTCAGGTCTCCCACCCTGCTATTCCTCTAGCTGGGAAAGTGATGGGTCTCGCTGCCAGCGGGGTTGGGAAAGACGAAATCTTGCTGTACCCAAATGCAGAGCTTAAGTGCCGAAGACTAGGAAGGGGGTTGGGGTAGTAGCTGCTCTTCAGTTTTGGTGGTCAAATCTATGAGGTGAATAACTCTGCCCACATGGTGTCTGTGTGCCTTATGCTGGCTGGTGGGACCAGTTTTCCCAAAGTTATATCCTTGGGCCACTATCTCAGCACTTCGAATTTTTCCCAGTTAGCTTAACTGGAACAGTGGCCTGTGTGGCTGTGCCTTAGTATTTGTCAATTTAATCACCTGTTCCATTATGCAAAGGAATTGGGGGAGGGAAGTGGGGGGGCTGTGTGAGACCCCTGTCCTGATGAGCGCTTGTGCAGCCTTCAGTCAAAGTGTTTTAGCCTTGCCGCCTTTTGTGATCTAATAGTGAGCCAGGGGATCATCGCTGACCTTACCAGTATCAAGCACTGAGTGGAAAACAGGAGCAAAGCCCTTTCAAAAAGCCACTGCGCAACATAACAGCTTCATCGCGGCAGCAAGGTTTCTGCAAGGGCGTAACTCTGGGCTGAGACTTGTGTCCCTTAGCTTGGCTTTTGGATGACGGCTCGTAGACAGAGGTCAGCCAAACTGCTCTGGCAGATGTTTCAGGCACCCCTCCAACTGGAAAGGTCACATTTTAATGCGTAGGATGTTTGGCCGAGTCTTAAGGTGGGACAGGCCTCCTTTATTTATAGAAAATGTCTAGAACTGTACCTTTCTACGTGAAGCAGTTATCAAATGCCCTGATGTCATAACTGCAGCAGGTCACACAACACTGGCATTTGCTTAATACCTGCAGGCCATCTTCACCCCTTTGCAGCATCAAAGAAAATGTACATAGCTGAGGGGTTAGTGCATTCTCTGGCAATTACGCCTCTCGTTCGTCGCCTTCCCTGAGTGGCAAAATACAACTTCAGAGCTTGAGGTGCTGCGCGATCCAGCCCTGGACAGCTGTGACTTTCGTGTAGACACCAGGGAAGTACGGTCTGGCGCAGCCATAGCCCCAGCTTGTGATTCCTGCTAGAAACCACTTTCCTGAGGGTTCCTTACATGCCAGGGGCCCACCTGCATCGCCCTGCAGAGAGAGGAGAGCAGAATGAGGTCTGTGGACTTGGATAATGGCAACAGCCATGGAGATGGATGGACAGACAGCTGAGCTAGGGGAGGCAGGGCAAGGCCCCCTGAGAGAATAATAGTCAGGGGACTTTGCACAAGTTTGCTCTGTCCCAGCCACAGCATTTGCTGCTCTTGCACTCACTGAACAGCTGTCGACGCTGCCCTGCGGGAAACCGGCACACACCATTCTGCTGCTGATCTGGACAGGGTAGAACTTTTTGCAGGCCTGGTCTCCGATCATGTTCACTGCTGCTTTTTGCAGATGCTTTGACATGAGACCTGAGGAGACAAGTATCTCTCTTCACTTGATGCAGAGCAGGCAAGAAGTGGCAGCATGTGGAGTGGGGTCTCTGCAGCCTTACTTGCTTGCCAAAGGGAGAGACCGGCACTAGGAAAGTGAATGAGGCCTGGTTCTTCCCCAGCAGAACAAGCACAGGAAGGTCCCTTTGGGGTGTATTTTGTCAAGCAGCTCGGCTGACCAGAGAGAAGTGGTATGAGGGTGATCCTTGTACAGCAGGAGCACAGCTGGAGCAGCTGCTACAGGGATGGGGAGCCGAGTGGCTGTCATGTAGAAAGCTTGGGAAGGCTGCAAGAGGGCAGAGGTATAACCAAATGGAGGAGCACAGTACATGGTGGCCGGAGGGGAGATTGTGGTGACACCAGGCCTTGCCCAGGTTGGTATCCCTGCAGGATCCAGCCTGGCATGGGGAGTGCTTGGGGCAGTGGAGTGGGAATCGTAGATGTTTGGGCTCACAGTGTAGGTGGCACTTAGCTTGGCCATCATGAACGTGAGGGAGCTCTCTCAGCCAGTACCTCCTTCCTTTGTGGAGCCCCAGCCTGTGATGAAGCATCTGGCTCCTTCATGGAAGATGTGTGAATTGTCTGGGAGACATATAGGCTTGATGGTGCTGCTGAACTTGATGGGCGTGTTCAGCTCTAGCAGTGCCACATCGTAGTCCAGGCTGTAGACGTTGTAAAAAGGGTGCTTGTAGATACGGAATATTTTCTCAATTTTGCCATCGATGCCACTCAGGAAGGGTGTTCCTAGAAAGGCCACCCACATTTTGGGGTCACTGTAACTGCAGAAAGACAGCAAACCTCACTGTTAGCAGCATGGTCTTACAAGGAGGGTAGTTCCTCCACTTGTGGGGCTGGGATGCACTACAGCCACACCTTGTGAGGCCAGGGCCCCCCATGGCCCCATCACACTGTGGCTTTGCTCCACTCATTCCTCTCCATGCTTACCTGGAGGGGCACATCTGTGATAGGGAGGCTGTGCTTCCAGTGGGGCACAGCATCCCAGCCATGCTGCTGGGCTGCGAGGAAGGGGGAGGGCAGGTGGGCTGATGGAGGCGAGGCCAAGAGCCAGCTGGCTTCATTAGCCCGTTTCAGACTTACATATCAAAGCAGTGAGCTGCAGACAGCAGCCAGCGGTCCGCAATGAGGACAGCCCCGCACTTGTGCTCCTTCTGCCGAAGCCAGAGACTGACTTGCCAGGGCCATTCTCCTCGAGCTGCAGTGCTGCCACCCACGATCTTGCTGAAGGCCAGAGCAGTTGATAAGCCACAGTCTGGGACAGAAGAAGAGGCACCATGGTTTTAAGTAACTGCAAGTGAAAGGGATATCTGCACTCCTTCCAGATGGGGCAGCCATCTGGGAAGACATACACAGGGCAGTAGGATGTGATGAATTTCATTCACTCATCTGAGACAAGACTCGGCAGACATGGTATGGTCTGGGAACCTTTACTTGTTATCACAGTTCACACCTTCTGGGGATGTGGAACATGAGGAGAGGATGTTTGGATGGACTGTCTGAGCTGTCACACAGCAAGGAATGTGTAGTCCAAGCTTTGCCACATTATGCAGAGCTCTCTTGCCACCCCGTAGTAGCAGACTGGTTGGCCAGACAGAAGGCCTGTGTGCTGGGAAAGGGATCTGAATGTTGGACGGCATAGGAAAAGAGGCCACATTCCCTGACAGAAATTTGGATAAGCTCATGCAGCTTTATCTTGTTACAGGCTCTGGCAGACCAAGACCTGGACCACAAGGGGCTGGCCCAAGCCCCCACTGTACAACGTGGGGCCCAAGACAGCCCATGTGAAGTCGGTGGGTTGCACTGGGGAGGTGGGTGATGAAGATTAAGGCTCGGCAGCAGTCACAGGCTGCAAAGCAGTACTCACCACAGTTGTGCTCGTCGAAGCCGTTGCTGCAGTCAACAACACCATCACATTCGGGATTTTCTTTTCCAATGCAGACCTTGCTGGAACACTTGAAGGTGAGGCTGGTACAAGGCACCACTGGAAGGCAATAACCCATGGTCTGCTCAGTACTCTCGGTGCTGGGACTAGAGGCCTCCTACTAACATGTCAATAAATCTGTTGTCAGTTTTACCTGGGGTTAGGGTGGGCTTGGCAGGCTCAGTGGTTTCCAGAGCTGTGGAGGTTTCTTTCATGGTTGTGGTCATCTTCATGCTCAAGGTGGTTCTGTTGACTGGACTTGCAGCTGTTGTGCTGGGCTGGTGGGTGAGGATGGCTGCAGTAGGAATTCTAGTGATGGCTGATCTGGAAGGGGTGCCTGTGCCAGGACTGGGCAACTGTGAGATGGTATCCAGGATCCAGTCTTTGAGTTTGGTAATTCTGGAGTACACACCAGGTTTTGTAGCCTGGGCGCAACCAATTCCCCAGCTCACAATGCCAGCCAGATAAAACACTCCTGGGGTCATCTCACAGGCCAAGGGTCCACCTGAATCTCCCTGAGGAAGAAGCAAGGCAGTGGCTGCTCAGCGTAATCTCCCTAAGACAGGTCTACATGGAGCTGCCCCTCAGCCACACTGGGAGAACTTAGCTAGCCCCAAACTCTTGTTTCTCCAGCCCCATAGCGCTGTCTGCTGCCATGCAGTCTGTGTGCAGAGGCTGAAATTAGGGTCAGTGCCTCAGCCTGACTGCAGATACAAGTGGCATTTGTCATGAAAGTTAACAGTTCCTGATAGCTCCTTTCCACACGTGACGGACAGCCACTACCAACTACCATTGTCTCACTGCCACAGGAAGAGACCTACTTCATCCAGGACTCCAGTCTGGCAAGACAGAGCAGTGGGATGTTGGTTTAAAGCAGCATCGATGGAGCTTTATTTACTTTCCTAAAGCTCCAAGGCAGTGGACTGGGTGTTTTGAGCAATGGTACACGTGGGTTACAGCCTGGCCACAGCAGCTCGGTCAGTATTTCCCAAGGATGTGCTGAGGCTGTGAGTTAGCCCAGCTTTCTGGAACAATCCCCAGAGGACTAGAGAAATCCCAGACTCTTACCTGGCATGAGTCTATCTTCCCCTCCAGGAAGCCAGCACAGATCATTCGGTCAGTGAGGGAGAAGTTGTAGAGGAAGTTGCAAGTCTTCTGGTCTATAATGCCCACAGAGGCTTTCTGCAGGATCTCAGGCTTGGTGGCTGCATGAAAACCACAGGATTAGCAAATACGGCAGTGGGAAGTGAGAACTAATGGCTGTTAGACTGACCCAACACATATTTCAGGAAAACAGGCTCTAATCCCACACAGGAGTTCAGTCCTGTATAAGCTACCCTCTCAGCAGCCCCGAAGCTCCTGCCTCATGCCAGGGTTCAGTTTCATAGCTCTGCGAAGGATACTGCACACAGGCAGCGAGGCTGTGTTGTCCTGACAGCTTGCGGGCTCCCTGTCAACTGTCAGAGGGCTTCTTTGGGAGCACACACGCCATCCTCATGCCTTCCCCCTACAGTGGGATCTTTGCTTTTTTCTGACTGTTTGGAACATCTTTGCAACTCAGTGTGGTTGCTGAGGCTGATACACTGTCCTGCCAGAACTACAGCAGTGCCCCTCTCCTGCTTAGCATGGGAGACCTACTGAGGGGACACCAGCATGTTTCTCTTGGTTCCTGCCAAGCTGCTCTCTCCATTTTCTTATTTGCTGGTGGCTCCTAAATAACTGCAGTTTAAGGTAGTGCTCTTATTTTTGTGTTTCTGTCTGTTCCTGACTGTCCTGTCCCTGTTCCCTGTCCTGTATGCTTCCAGGAGTGGCTGGGTCACAGTGACAGAGGCTTTGCTGCCAAGTCTGTCACTGCTCCGGAGCAAATCAGCGGGTAATGCGTCACCGCTTACCGTTCCCTTCTTGGAGGTTACCCCACCCAGAAATCAGGCATTTCTTGCCAACGGGAAACTTCTGCACAGCAAGTGGGAGACAGATGGGCTGGATGTATTTGTTGAAGACAAGAGGTCTTGCCAGCTCAAGTATGGCCACATCAAAGTCCAGAATAAGCGGGTTGAAGAGGGGATGCTGGATCACTCTTGTTACATTGACTTTCACTGCATCCCCATCTGTTCCATTTACTGATGTTGTTCCCACATAGGCGCCGATCTCGTCTGGATTTGTCCTGCAAATACGTAATTCTAAACAAGCATGCTCACACACATCTCTCGCATAGATTCTGACATTTACATTACAGACAATTTCAAATGATCACTGTTCGAAACCTTACTTCACCAAAGCAGAGCCCAGCACGCAGAAGAGCAGCCCTGCTAAGTCAGGCCCAAAGAACTGTTTCCAGCGGTGGCACGTGTTGGATGTCACCTCAAGAGCAGGCAAACTTGTAGCAATCCTCTCACTGCCTCCTGAAATCTGTGATTCCCTTGTTAAAGGGAAGATGGGTCAGTTCTGTGATTCTATGCTAGTCATTTCTTTAGGTTATTTATAAATCTGGGGCTGGGCTCTTGCTGTTTAACAAAACTACGCAGGATTGAACTGACCCATCTTCCCTTTAACAAGTGGTCATATGTCTATTTCCTATGTTGCAGCCAATTTTTAAGGTTAAATTTTTTGAATAAACTCTGAAATCTGTGATTTCAGGAGTGTTCTGGTATACAGACCCTGTCTTTATGTTCAGTAGGTCTTGATGGATTTTTGGGATTTGGATTTTTCTAGAGCTGGGGTTTATTCCTTTTTTTTTAACCCCATGTGAATTTTGAACATTCAGTTTAATTACATTTATGAAGAACTGCTTCCTTTTGATTGTTTTCCACCTGCTCTTGGTGGTTATTTGATATCTTAGAGAAACAGGAAGAAGGCATTCCCTAAACACTTTGTCTGTAATCTTCACAACTGTACAGTCCCTATCCCACCCAGTTGTTTTTTCCCCAGGCCTAGTCTGATCTATTTTGTTGTGCTTGTTGCGGATGCTGTTTCACACCCAGCTCATCCTTGTGTCTTGTGTTAGGCTTTTCTCAGTGTTATTCTAGCACTCATGCACTGTTTGAGAAGTCAGTACACTGTGCATTACCAGCAACATTGTGATCATCTCAGCTATTTTTCTAATAATTAACAGCATTCTCTTCCTCTTTAATTGCCACTGCCCATAGAACTGCTGTTCTTACAGCAATATCCACAGCATTCCTGACCTTCTTCTGAATTGTAAAGGTTGATGAAGACCCATCATCATCTGCACACAGATAGCACTGCTTTTTTGTTGCGCCTCACTTCGCACTTGCCTACCTTGCATTTCACTTGCTGCGTTATTGCCCAGTTACTGAATGCATAAGGTTGTCTTTAAACTCCTCATAGTTACTTCCCTGCCTTTTCTGCCTTCAGGAATTTTTATTCTAGACAAGTATTATTGTTGTGTGTTGAAAAGCTGTGGATGCCCCATTCCGTGTCCAAGGCAGGCTGGATGAGGCTTTGAGCAACCTGGTCTAGTGGAAGGTGTCCCTGTCCATGGCAGGGGGATTGGAACTGGATGATCTTTAAGGTCCCTTCCATCCAAAACCAGTCTGTGATTCTATGCTAGTCATTTCTTTAGGTTATTTATAAATCTGGGGCTGGGCTCTTGCTGTTTAACAAAACTACGCAGGATTGAACTGACCCATCTTCCCTTTAACAAGTGGTCATATGTCTATTTCCTATGTTGCAGCCAATTTTTAAGGTTAAATTTTTTGAATAAACTCTCTTGTGTCCTTCTCCACCCCTCTTAGATGTGTTGTCCTTGCTCCCTGCCCAGGCTACTTTAACCTTTCCCTGCCTCATACCAGCCTCCCTACAGAACCCCTCTTACTATGAATCTCTAACAAAAATTAACATCCAATGTCTGTTCCTGTTTTCCCTAGTGTCTCCAGCGCCACAGCTGTGGGTTCAGCTACGTGGCCGCATAGGAGCTGCGCAGCTCTGTGACGGTGGGCAGGTGAGCTGGAACAGCAGTGCCAGCAGGGATGGACTCACTCATTGAAGCAGTGAGCTGCCGACAGCAGCCAGCGATCCCCAATTATGGTGGCTCCACAGAAATGCCTTGAGTCTTCTTTCAGGCTGACTTGCCAGGGGATCTCTCCTCTGGAAGCATCTGTTCCTCCCACGATCTTGCTGGGTTTAGAGAACCCAGGTCGTCCTCCACACTCTGAACAAAAGCCAAAGCATGACTTGTGAGTACACCTAGCAGAAGACAAAGAGAAACTCTTCCTCTCTCTAACCAGCAAGTCTGAGCAGGGGCAGGTCAGGCATGAAGTGTGAGACATCTGCCCAAGCTCTGCTTGGTGATCGTGTTGTTCCCTGAAGGTGGCCATGCACAGCCATACATGGGCTTTCACCCTAACTGCTGTTCTGCATCTTGCTCTTAGCAAGTCCTTAATCCTGTGCCTTTCTCAAAGGCAGGGTAACCAGCAGCTCTGTGCCTCTTGGCCTTCCCATTTCCGATTAAAAAATTAATCCAAAATTTAGAAAGATACCCTACATCTCTAGTTCCCTGCAGAGCTGCTGGGAGGGCTCGTTGGAACTGACAGGTTATCCTATAGACATCTGCCCTCCTTCCCTTCAGGGAGAAGACCTCTGGCTGCTGAGAAGTTGCAGCGATCAACTTTGAACTGCTGGGAGATATTTAGATGGCAAACAAAAATGAGTGGTCAACAGCTTAAACAGTGTTAGATGCTGTTGTGTCGTAGTACGCTGTCCTAGCTGGCTGGACCAGACCACTTACACAGAGAGTGGACAAAATTGCACATTCCGTTGTATATGCAAAGCCCCCATGAAACTCATCTGCATGAGTAGAGTGACACTGCCAGGTTGCTGTGGGCTGAGCCGGGGCAGCCATGTAGTGTCACGTGTGCCTTGGCCCTTAGCACTTGGGCAAGGGTTGTGTGGGGCACCCTACTGAAGGTCATTTCAGCTCAGTGGAAGAACGAACCGCCCTTTGGACCTGTACCAGCCACTCTTCCTGCAAAGGTGCACCCACCCTGGGGGTGCGCATACCTTGTGGTCTCGATGCAGTCACTGGCTGGCTGGCAGCTGGGGCTGGTGAAGTGGTGGGGATTGCTGTGGTGGTGGTGTGCTCTTCAGCGCTGACCATGTTACTATTAGTACTGGAGTGTATTAGGGGGTGGCCTATGGAGGTGGGGGAGGCAGAAATAGCATCCAAGATCCAGTCTCTGAGTTTGGTAACACGTGTGTAAACCCCAGGCCGCCTGGCTTCAGCACATCCAATTCCCCAACTCACAATTCCTGCCAGGAAAAACTTGCCAGATGGTTCTTGGCAAACCAGTGGTCCACCAGAGTCTCCCTGCAAGAGAAGTCAGATGGTGAGTTTTCCCTGGGCAAGCTCTGAACTTACGCTGGCCACCCTCAGGAGGTGTAGCCAGACTGTCTCTGTGTCCCTGTGTACCCCAGCTCAACTCTGCTTATTTGCTCCAGCCCAGTGACGAGTGAAGCATGCCCTGTGCTGGCCTTTGGGAGCTCCTCTGTGTGGCAGCGAAGCACAAGGACATCCTCTATAAAATGTAGGGTAAGCGTTTCTACTGGTTTAATAATTTGTTAAACTGCTGCTCTTAAAGGATAAGCCCAGCAGCCCCTAAGCAGCCAGATGATGGGTGTCCATTGCATGAGACACAAGGAAGACCATGCTAATCTTAGCATGTTTTCTTGATTTGGTCTGTGGTTCCCTGACCAATTCTTTAGTTCTGTGAAGCCATATGAGTGTCACTGATGTAGGACATGTGGTGTCTGTGAAGCTGGCAGTGCCTTCTGGGGGATGGATTGCTGTAGGTGAGTAACTGGATGGGTTACGTTCATCATCCAACCTTCAACCTTCCATTCCTGACCCCTTCTCTGGTGTTTGTGCTGCAGCTGGTACAGAAATAGGAAGTGCTACCACCAGAGCAGTGCAATTCTGCTCAGCTGGTGGCTGGGGGTATGTGCCCTGCCAAACCACAGGGACAGCCCTGGAAATCAGTCTTCCTCACAACCCAGTCCTCCTCTCCCCACATACTGTGAAAGGCAGGATTTCTCCAGCTGACCACTTGCAATTCCAGGCTGGATGAAGGCTAACTGGGGAAAAAAACCTAAGTTGTTCACCAAAAACTGTTCTATATGTTTTAGTTTCCACTGTTGTCCTTTTGCCATCTGGATTTTGATCTGACGACCTGACAGGTACATTGATATCGCCAGCCCTGATTACAGCTCAGGAAGTAAAGAAAAGTAGTTAAATAGCCAAGAGTCCCTTAAACAGCAGTGCCCTGCCCTAAGCACTAAGGAACATATCCTCATTTTTGTCTTCTGCAGTCCCTGATCTGTGCTTGGATCCAAGGCATGGCCTGAAACTTCGCAGGGGGGGGAACCATGACCATGGTGTCAGATCTTGCTTCTTCAAGTGCTGCTTAGTGCATACTGGGTGGTAAAAAAAACCCTGTGGCCAGCTTCCCTGGGTAAAGCTTACCTGGCAGGAGTCGATTTTCCCCTCCAGGTAGCCAGCACACAGCATCCTGTCTGTGAGGGCATGGCTGTAGAGGCTGGAGCACAGCATCTGGTCCAGCAGCTCCACTGTTGCTTTCTGCAGGAACTCGGGTTTCACCACTAAACGGGAAAGATGCGACCGTGAGCTCAATGCAGGGAGCCTTAAGTGGGACCATCTGCCCATGTTACAGCCCACTCTGGCTGGCCTGAGTGCCCTTCCCTGGTGCCTCCTGCACCACTCGCACCCCACCATGCCTCCTCTGTCGCCTGCCATGCTGTGCTTACAGAAATCCTCCTTGAGGTAGCCCCAGCCGGAGATAAGGCACTTCTTGCTGGTGGGGAAGTGATGCCCAGCATCTGGCAAGCACACGGGCTGGATGTACTTAGTGAAGGTCACAGGTCTCTTCAGCTCCAGCACAGCCACATCATAGTCAGCCGTGTCGGCGTTGTAGGAGGGATGCGGGATGATCTGTGCGATACCCATTTCCACTGCACCGCTCTCTGAGCCTCTGAGGGAGGTAGTCCCTGTGGAAGCTGCCCACATGGCTGGGTCCTGAAACCTGGAAAAGATCAGCCGGGATAGAGTAAGCCTGCAGCCACAGCACGGCCCTGCAAACCAGAGCCGCCTGGTGCGGGTGGTGCTGCCTCCTGCCCACCCTGCCATCTGCTCTGGGGCAGCAGCTCTCCGTGGCTTTATCTGATGGGGGAAGGAGATCGGGTGAGATGGGGCAGCGTGGTGCAACGGGCGCTTGTGCTGGAAGGTGTGGCAGCTGTTGGGAACAGGGTTAAGGGGGGGGGGAAAGCTAGCGTGGCTAGAGCTTACTCAGTGAAGCAGTGCGCAGCAGACACCAGCCACTTCTCTGTGAGGATTGCAGCACCACAGAAGTGCTCGTTGTTCTCTCGCAAGCTGACTTGCCATGGGAACTCCCCTCTGGACGCCTCTGAGCCCCCAACTATCCTGCTGGCAGTCTGCATGGCAGGGCGGCTCCCGCAGTCTGAAAGGGAGGAGAGAGCAGTGCATCAAGGTCCTGCCACCTGCATCCCAGCAAAGTGCTCTCGGGGGCAAGTGGGAAAAGCTGCTTCAGCTTTGTGCACACTCCCAGCACATGCAGCAGGGCATCGCCACAGATGTCACAGGGCAAACTTTAACCTGCAGGCTTAGAAAAGAGCACTGCATCCATCGCAGCATCCTCCCTGAAGCTCTTCTAAAGCAAGAAATTCTGGAGAGAAGTATCTTAGCTAGTTTCACAAGCTCGGACACTGCCTTATGGTCTGCTCCCAGCAGCCCACCAAGAAAGTGGGCCTTGTCATAACCTTTTCCCGCAGTCCCAGTGCTGGGACAAAGGTGTTTCTAGGGTACAGTTCCCCTCATCCAGATGCTGTTGGCCTGTCAAGTTGTGCCATGTCTTTGGCTCTCTTCAGTGCCCAGTGTTACAGCTGTCAAGGTCTGCAGCAGCGCGTCGTGTGACCTCCATGCCCAGCAGACCTGCTGTGAGAGACTCACCACAGCCCCTTTCAGCAGAGGCATCGGCACAGTCTCTTTGGCCATTGCATTCAGGATTTTCTTGGCACACACACTAAGTGTTGTGGCAAGTGAACGTGTCTCCAGGGCAGCTCCCTGGGGACAGCAAGGCTTCAGTCCCTTGTGTCTCCTGCAGCCCTCCCAGTAACCATCCCCTTGCTTCCCCAGAGGCAACCCCCGTGCAGTCCTTGTCGCTCTGATCCCTGGCAGCACCGGAGTCCCTGAGGGATGGAGCTGGGAGCAGAGCTGCACTTTTTGATCAGCTCACTGGAGGAAAGGGGTGCAGAGCCCTGGACCACCAGGTTATGAACAAGATGGGGCACAAACACCTCATGTACCTGCAGCCAGGCCACCAGTGAGGAGGAGGCTACAGGCCAGAGTTCAGCCAAGGGAACTGGAGCAGACGGCTCTTCCTGCTGCCTGGCTCTTACCTGATTTCAGTCCAGGTCTGTGGGGAGAAACCTCACTGGGACCTGTGACAAAGTGGAAGGAAAGGGGATCAGTCATCCATCAGTCACTCCCTGCATCCCAGTCAGGGGCACTGGAGCTGCTGCTGCTCCCAGGCCAGGGCTGGCAGAGACTTTGTTCATCTTTTCATCCTGCCTGGCAGTCATGTTCCCTACTCCATAGCCAGCTGTGAGCCCCCTTGCCTTCCTGGGGCCCTTCCCCCCTGCCTTCCTGCGCACCACAGGCACAGTGGAGGAGCAGCCATCCACAGCCCTGCACTCTTTTGGGGTGATCCCAGGTACAAGGAGAAATTCTCAGGAGCTGTGGCAGTGACCTGCCTGCCAGGAGCAGGCTCCAAGGCTGAAGCTATGCAGGGTTGTTGCCTAAAGCCAAGGGGTGTGCACGCACCCTCCATTTGGGCTGCACAAGGCTCCCACAGATGCAGGGACCCTGCCCATGGTTGCAGGGAGCACAGAGGGAGCTCCAGAGAACCCACACCTTCATGTTTTCCAGGCACATGTTTTTGTACATTTGCTGGACCTGGTGCAACTCCACAGTCACTGAAGGAAAGCAGATTTTCTAGTCAGGTGCTTTCAGACAGTAATTCAAACATGAGAATTATCTACGTAAGCAGGATTTTTGCTACAACTCCGAGGCCTGCCTAAGGGCTGCTGTGCACTTGTAGGTACAGACCCAGCAATTAACCTCTTGAAGCCTGATCTCTTGTTCCTCAGGCTGGTTCCAGGTGCTGCAAGAAAAGCCAAAGAAGCTGCAATTTATGCTTTAGGTTCTGTTGCTGCAGGCCTCCAAAGCTGCTCGTGCAGGGTCAGAGCAGCAGGACAGTGTTGGAGGGGTACTTGGGGACTCCCCACAAATGTCTGTTGAGCAATCACCAAGACCTAGGCATGTTTCTACTGCTGTCTCGTGAGGCTGCGAGCCAGGCAGAGCATCTTTTGTTGGTTTGCTTAGGTGCCTGGCAACACCTCCATTTCTGTCATTGCTGCTGGGCATGAAGCCTTGACTGGGCATCCGGAGCTAAAGCCCTGCGGTAGTCTGGCTATCTGAGACACAGTTTGGGGTGCTGCTGTTGTCACCGTTGGTGCTAGCAGCACCAGTACAGGGCACCTTGCTCTGCCTGCCCGGCAGCTGTGCGAGGAGCGTACCTGTAAGAGAAGCTGAGGATATAGTCCCGTAGGCAGCCAGGGAGAGACCCTGCTCGTGCAGGGCAGCCAGCAGCCCATGCCTGAGAGCTTCCTCCTCCATGACAGAGCTCAGGGGCTGGGAATCCTGGGGGGTGAAGCGGAGGCGGAAACGGACGATCACGCTCGAGTTTCCACTCCTGCTGGAAAACAGACAATTAATGGGTACGCTGGGTCCATGGTTAGGTCAAGGGACAGCCTCTTGCGCTGGCTGTCTACAGGGAACTCGAAGGAAACAAAACTAATTCTTAATAATTTAAGGCAAAATTTTCTCTGGAGATGTGCTCTGGGTCGAAATGGCAATTTGCATTTCTTCTTTGGCCCAAAGTTCAGCTTTGGTTGAACAAAGCCATTTTCCTCTGCCTTTCTCACTGCATTTCCAAATGAGAGAATGCAGAACGTTGGGATGATCCCAAAAAGCAGTTTCTCTGTGTACTAGCTGGGAACAAGAACACAGGTTTGAGCTCACCTTCTTGGTGCAGCCTGTCAGAACGCCCTGAAACATGAGCTGCAGAGTCTGCAGAGGGAGCTGCCTACACTCACCTGTAGCCCAGGATGGTACAACCGGTGCAGCTCCAGTCCAGCTGGGAATCTTGGAAACTGGACAGAAACTTCAAAGCAAAGAACAGTGGTCACACACACACTGGGCAGAGGACCCCAGGGAGATGGGACTAGATGATGCATGGGATTTTGCGGGGATGGGGAACTAGCTGAAGCACCTTCTCTTGGCTCTTGCAGGCAGCAGAAGCGCCTGTGTCCAGCTCATGTGTAATCGTTTTCCCACCCTGGCTCAGGGCACGAGGCAGCACATCCTTTCTTTATGCCTTCCTAGCAACTCTCTTCGGCAAGGAACAGACCCAAGCACACACTTCCCACTCTGCAAATGCCTCTTAGGGCCTGGATGGTGCCTCTCAAAGGGCAGCTTAGCCCTGCAGCGTACCCTGCTAACATTTAAGAGATCCCTGTTTTCCTCCTACCTTTGGAAATAAGGTCGGTCGAGCTGAGCCCCAGGCAACTGCCACAGTCTTTCCCCAGTTTTTTCCTGGCAAGCCCAGATCAACTCACCAGCCTCTCAAGAGCAGGCGTCAGCACCCTGTAGTAGTCTGAGTTCTCCATCTGTAAGCTGCTATTGAACGTGATTCCTTGCAGCTCCACTGTGTGCTCAAAGCTGGTCTCTCCCACGGGATGACAGGCTGCCAGAGAGGGAAGGTGTCTGTCAGAGGCACAAAGGACACAGGGAGGTTTGGGGCCGTGGCTAGACCCAGCTTTCCTTGCTGACTGCTTTGCAACATGGGTCATGTCATGTTCTTTAGGACCCTCCGCCTGGGTTCGAGCAGCTTGACTGTCCCTGACCACCCCTGGCTGCCTTGGGGGTGCCCCATGGCTGTGCTGGGCTACCCTGCACACATGCAATAGGAGAACTTTGCACTGAACTAATCTGAACTTGAAAACGGTGGATTTTTGTCAAGTCTGAGACAAAAGTCAATAAACAGACGGGTACAACCTGGGTACATCCTGGCAGTGCAATCCTGGACTGGCCCTGTCCCTGCAGGAACAGGCTGGGAAAAGGCACGCTGGGTACTGAAGCCAGCTTAGAAAGTGGTACAGTACAGTTGAGCTGTGCTGGTGGGATCTGTCAGTCATGTCAGGCTGGGGTCTACGCCAGGGTGCTGGCCAGAGGGCACCAGAGGCAGCAGGAAGGAGGTGGGAGAGGCAAGAAGACAGTGGTCACGCTCTGGGGTGGGACAGTAAAACAGGCAATGGTTAGTGGGGCTGCAAGAGTTTGTGACAGGAGATTGCTGGTGCAACGAGGTACCGTGACAAGAAATTTCATAGAATCATAGAGTTATTTGGGTTGGAAGGGACCTTAAAGATCATCCAGTTCCACCCCTGCCATGGGCAGGGACACCTTCCACTAGACCAGGTTGCTCCAAGCCTCATCCAGCCTGGCCTTGGACACTTCCAGGGATGGGGCATCCACAGCTTCTCTGGGCAACCTGTCCCAGTGCCTCCCCACCCTCTCTGGGAAGAATTTCTTCCTGATCCCCAATCTAAACCTCCCCACTTTCAATATAACCCCATTACTCCTTGTCCTGTCACTACAGGCCCTTGTAAAAAGTCCCCCCCAGCTTCAGAATGCCCTGAAATTTTGGAGTTACAAGGAGAGATTAGAGGAATAGAGCATATATGTCATATGACACTGAAGATAAAGTGGTTTAAAGTCAGATAATTCAGAACATTGAGTTGATTACAGCCCTTGCAGCTTGTGTGTGTATTGTGGGGAGAGCTGACCACATTCTGTCCTCAGCAGAAGGCTTTTGAAGAATTTTGCTATGAGGATTGTGAGCTGTACAGACCTGTGTTTGCACAGATAAACTGAAAGAATGTACCTGGCTGCACACTCACCTAGCAGGATCCCCAGGTAGAGGGCTGTCACGCTGCCCACCACAGCAGCAGCAACGGTTACCTTCCAGCAGCTGACCCTCAGTCCCCTTCTCTGGGTGCCCAGCACTGGCATTATCTGGTCCATGCTTCCTGAGCAGGTCTATAGATGGTCTCTGTGAAAAAGAAGAGGAGGAAAAGGACAAGACTGGGATGAAATGTGACACGCCAGCTTTAGTTACCCAGGAGCTCCAACCAGTGCGTTATCACAAGAAGTAAAAGACGGATACACACTGCAGCCCCTGAATGTGCCTCAGGCTGCAGTTAGGAGATTTTAGATACATCCAGGTTGTAGGACCTGGACACATCAACCACGGTGGCCCCTCGCTGCCTGGTTCCCCTTCCCTTTCTTTCTAGGCCACCACTGCACATGGCCATGTCCATCGTGAGTACGACCAGCATGGTGCTCCATCTCCATGTTCTGCACAGGCGCTTTTGGTGACAGAAGCTCTGGGTGAGCACTGAAACAATGTCTGAGCATCACAGGCCCTGCACAGCACACATACCTGTTCTCCAGGCACTCCCCCAGGCTTGCTTTAGCAGCAGGGTTTCAAGGTCCTACTGCCTATGATGCCAGGGTGAACTGGTATGCCAGCTCATGGCAAGGGACCAGGCTTGGCATCTTGGCTTGCTCTTTCTGCCTCAGACATCACCCCTAGTAAAGATCCTAAAACCAACCAGTGTCACTGGCAGATGTTTTGGTCCTGCTCAGGAGTCATGGAGCTGCAGCAGCAGGTGGGAGGGTTAAGTTGGAAGGTACAACATTTATCTCAGAGTAATTTATTGGCCTGGAAATAGCAAGACTAGACTGCAGTCACATCCTTAAATATCACACTTTGCAGTCTGAATAGAGATCTATGGAGAGAGACCTGTCTGGTACTCTGGCTAGTAATGTACCAAACCAATTGGTATTGCAAACCTCCAGAGTCCTTGGCTGCTTCTACTGGACCTTTCTGACCTGGCTTATATCCCCAAGGTGTATGTTACATGGATTAAAACTGGCTAAGTAATAAACCTCATTCTGTAGTTGTTTATGAGGCAGGTTCCAGGGTGAGGTTTCATATGTAGCCCAATTCTATTCCATAATTTTGCAAGAATTGTGAAGGAAATGTAAAATCACAGTCAGTAAATTTGGTGGATGACAGAACTCACTACAGTCTGCTGCAGAGAACTCCCAGTGCCCGGTAATGCAAAGCAATTAATATGTGCTTTAATTTCAGCTCTGCCACTGTCCTGATGAGCAGTTTCCCCTTCCTTGTGGTCAGCACTGGCACTCCCAGTATTTTGCTTCAAGTGGTACAAACATCTTGCACAGGAACCAAGGCTCCTTTGTGTGATCTTTCCTGCCTCCCAAGATGAACTCAGTGGCCTCTTCCAGACTTAGTCCAGTATGTCAGTGCATTTCATGCACTGAAGATGCTCAGATGGGATACAATACCCCAAACGTGATCTCAAAAGTGCCAAAAATAGGGCACTTATCTGTTTTTTCTGTCTGCATTCTTGCTGGCAGAAGCCAGCCTGTGGTTGGCCTTCTTTTGCACATCATCAACAACTGGATATTGGTAGGAATGAAACAGCCTGGGATATTCTGTTTTATCAACAGTCATTCAATCAGCCATCCTTCAGCCACGTTAGTTTTTGCAAGAAGCTTAATGAGGCAGGAAAGGGCACCGATTTCTCTGGCCCTAAAATGTATGAAGTTACTGGATTAATATTCCTCCCTCACAAGTAGGAAGATGACTGGCACACAAAAGTCTGAGGCAATTTGGTTGGACAGAGTTGATATACATGCAGGTCCAGCTTTCTTGGCCAAAGGTCCAAAGTTCCTCAGCTTCAGAGCGAGTTTTCTGAGGACTCAACCTCTAGCTGCTGCGAAACGTCTGGTTTACAGGTCACCCCCGAAGAGTCTTGGCAAGGCAAATTCATCTCCCAAACTTACTCTGCCTAGATATCGACAGCTTCAAGGATATAAAACCCACTCAGCTGTTCCTTCCCCCCCGTCCCAAATTCTGTCCTGCCGAGGGACAACTTGTCTGGTAACTTCTACACTGATTGGCCACGTCCTGCCAGCTCAGAAGATGCTGTGAGCGGCTGGGTTGCAGCAGCAGCTATTTACTGACCCTATAAATGAGGCTGTGACCAGCAAACTGGGAACCTGCGGAGGAACAGCCTTTTCTAATGCAAATGCATCCAGCAATGAAAGAGGGAAGAAAGGGACCCAGGACATGGAGCAGTAGCACTGTTTCAGAAGAGCTTTTCAGTGTTTTCCAGGAGGGAGTCAGCAGCTATTTAAAATGAAGCTTCTAGATAAGAGATTTGGAAAGGTCACTTCTTTGTGAGGCAACAGACAGAGAGAAAGGGGAGAGGAAGGGAGAGTCTGTCCAAGATGCTTCTTTTTTTCTAACAGATCTCCAAATATTCTTTTTCAGCTGTAACTGAGCCTGGCAGAGGGGGCACTTCAGGCCCCTGTGTCTTGCTAACAATATCACCATTTGACAATTCAGCTCTGGCTAAGAGGAGACAGGTAGGAAACATTTTGGTCAAGTGAATACATACAGATGAGCCATCCCTCCTCCACTCTTTCAATAGGTTTTGGAGTCACCAGTGTCCTCGTTTCGGCTGGGGTAGAGTTAATTTTCTTCCTAGTAGCTGGTATAGTGCTGTGATTTAGATCTAGTATGAAAATAATGTTGATAACACACGAATGTTTTTAGCTGCTGCTGAGCACTTGTAGTGCTTATGCTAAGTCAGTCAAGGACTTCTCAGCTTCCCATGCTCTGCCAGCAGGGAGGGGCACAAGAAGCTGGGAGAGGGCACGGCTGGCATGGCTGACCCAGACTGGCCAAAGAGATATTCTTCATCGGATAACATCCTGCTCAGTATATAAAAGTGGTGTTGGCCAGGGGGTGGGAACTGCTGCTTGGGGACAGGCCACTGATCACCCACTGGGTGGTGAGCAATTGTGGCACTCTGCATCACTTGGGCTGGTGTATTCCTTTATTATTATTATTATTTCCTCTACCTTTGCTGTCCCATTAAACCGTTTTTATCTCAACTCACATGTCTTTGATGAATCTCTCCCCCATCCCACCTGTGAGGGGCAAGCGAGTGGCTGCGGGCTGCTTAGCTGCGGGCTGGGGCTCAACACCACAACCAACCCTCCTGCAGTATGCTGAACGTGGAAGCTTCCAAATCTAGTCCAGATAAGCTGACCAGTGGAACAGTGCTCTTCCTGCTTTCAAGGCAGGACAGCTGCACCTGAGTAAAAAATTAACATCTCAGACAAAATTTGCTTTGTCTGGGTGTCATTTTGACAATATGAGTTAGATGGAACTAATCTTGGCTGCATGTAAGAAGTCATACTGCAATAAAAGTTACTTGAGATCCTAGAAAGAAGTTTGTATTATTGATTGCACTGACATTTTAACTGGAAAAAACCCAGAGTATTTAGAGATGGATAAGCCTTCTACTTTCCAAACCAATCAGAACTTCTCTGCTCTCCCTTTTAGCATAAGGAAAGTTTATTTTCTTTTGGTGCGAGTTAAAAAAAGAATTATAAAACATGTATATGAAAAATGCATTTTCCAAGAACAAAATAGAGATTGGACATTTTCATATGAAATAAGATAAGGACCATCTATAAGTATATCATGAAGATGAGTGACAAGGAGCTCCATACCTTGAAAAACAGCTGCATACAATCAGATGAGTGAAAAGTAAATTTTGTTGGTGGGGCCAGAAATTAGGGAAATATTAACAGTCAGAGCAGCATGAGTTTCCAGTAGGAATGCTGAGAAGAAAAAGCACATTTATGTTTCTCTGTCAGATTAGAAATTGTGAGTGGTTATAAAATATGATGCCCCTGACAGTGGGGGGGGGGGATGGGAATCAGTGATCTGAGAGCATCCTTCCAGTCCTCTACTAGTGGGATTTCTTCTCACTGCTTCATTCTAGCAGAGGAAGCACATCGTGTGCTACAAAGCCAACAAGCACTGTCCTGTGAAAATAACCATCTCTGGCTGTCCCTAAGGATCTGCTGAGACTGGGACAGGGAAGATGGCCACCATCTCTGCTCTTCTGCTTCTTGGCAGCTATGCTGGGTTCAGTCAGGAA